GAGGATCCCCGAGTCCCTGCACTTGGGTCCCTGTCAGTCCACATCACCAAGCCGCGCTGAAACAGTGTTGAGTTGTAATGCGCTTCGTGGTGTTGAGTTGGTGTTGCTGTATGACACTGAGTTGAGTTCTACTGTGATGTGCAGTGTTGTGTTGTGTAGTGCCATGCTCAGCAGTGTTGTGTTGATGATGAGACACAGAGGTGATGTGAAATTTGGCTGCTCCTGTGGGATCTGTCAGGAGCCGAGACACTAGGGGTCAATTACAACAGACTGGAAGCAGTAACTAACTGGAGTTCAGCCCCAGTTTAACATGCAGCTCCTACCAAACTACTGCTTCTCCTTCAGACCAACTGACCGCTGAAATTAGACTGTAACACTGGATCACTGGATCACATTAGAACATTCCCAAATATACAGCAGTGGAAATAATACTGTCACTTTGGAATGGATTTCACTCTTGGAAAATTATTGTAATATTGAACTAAAATTGCTTTCCAGTCACACCACACGTATTCATAAAGCAGTTATTATAATACATACATTTATTAATACGTGTCATTTATTAGTTAGGAGCTATAATGTATATATTTATTTGTAGCTGTATATGGAGTCCTTAGTATGCCAAAAAGTAAATTACCAGATATCCTGGACAGTGAAGAGAACTGAAATACATATTTAGATGGGGTGTAAATCTTAAATGTGTGCCCTCACATCTCACATCGGTTGAACAGACTTATTGTATTTTATAGTGATGGGACTTTACACTTGTAGCTTTCATGGGAAAACAGGGATAATGAGGAATTGGGGGGGACAGAGATTAAGTTATTTTGGCAAATGTAAAAGAATGATAAAGAAAAAACTCTTATTGGCATCCTTTTAAAAGACATTTCTTCGGCTGTGATCAAGTAATAATTCTGTTGAAACAGCTGGAAGGTGTGGAAAGTCTTGAAGACGAACAGGAGGCTCATCCAGTCGAGAGCCAGGCTGTGTCAGACTACACACA